ATTAATAGTCAAATGACAAGAGCTTTGTTTTTATTATCTGAATTAATAAAATAAATTTTATTACAGCCTTTGAGACTTCAGTGAAATATCAATGAGTGATCAATATTATTATGTTCTCACATTATTTCCGTGAAATATAATTTGGTATACCTTTAACTCTGTACCTTAAATGTCCTTTCACAAGAGTTCATACCGTCTTCACACTCCGCATATCGTTGTTGTGCCTGGTGCTTCTACACGCAACTAAACAGCTGGTTACTTCTGCATTTGAGGCTTTTGAGGGAATCAAATCTGCCATGCAATTGATGCTAACAGAAGATTCCACAGAAGTGAAAGGGAGACAAAACAATGTATTTTGATTGGCCAACACATATATATTAACACATGATAGTTGGAGTGGTAGGAATGCAAATGAAGTGTGCGAAATTAAGTTGCTTTTGCTGCTCCAAAAGGTGCTCCAAAACGACCTATTAGGCGGCTTGAGCTCTTTGCTTCTCTCGCTCACCCCTCCTCTTGATGAGTGTTTATTCGTATCTTTGCTACCAAATTGCCTGTCACCACTCTGTGCACCACTTTGGGAGTTGACTCGCTAAAAGGTGTAGTGTGCGTTTTTGCTGAAGTTTGCTTGTGCTCTGTATGTATATTTTCTCGCTGTGTGTCAACTGTACAGTATCGTATCTGGTGGCACGCGAAGTATGTGCCGAGTGGGCTAGAACACACCAGCTCGGAGCACGTGGAGCGGAAGCTCCTGGTGCTCAGGCATAGCCTCCTCTATACTGACAAAGCCTGGCAGATCGCCACGATACGGGACCGCCGAAAATGAAAAGGTAGAGCGGCAGACAACGGATGAGAGGAGAGCCACGTGACGGGCGCCCCGTTGCGGCGAGACGCCGAAACCCTCACTTCTCCCGAGCGATGGAATCTCCACTCGTGCGCCTCGCGTTCTTCGCGCTACGGCTTCTTTTCTCGTCGGGTTTGAAAATCACGTTTCGGGTCCTCGCCGCCGCAAAAGCTGTGCGCTGAATACTATGGTTCCCCGAGAAATGCTCTGTGCTACCAGATCCTCGCGCTCCAAATCTACGACCGGGCACTCTATGGCTCCGTCGTCGAACTGCCAGGCTTTGTGAGTATATAGAGGAGGATATATGCCTGGGTTGTATCCCTCACCACCCCTGCCCGTTTCGATCTGGATGAGCATCGTATACCGGCGTGCGGTCGTGTATCACTACTGCGTGATGCACGTTAAAGACCCCAGGCTAGCGGTTGTACCGCGCTGGCTAAATTGCTCATCTATAACTGTGACTCAAGTCACCCGTTAAGGCAGACTAAGTTCAGGATCAGGGATGGGCAGTATTTCAAATACAAGTATTTGAAATACGTATTTCAAATACTTTGTGTATTTTGCATTTATATTTAATTACAAATTGGGTAATGTATTTGATGTGTGTATTTAAATACTAAAACGTGGGTATTTCAAGTACAATTGTAATTAAATACAATTTTGTGGGCGAAAATGCATCCCTCAAATTTATTGTCACTGTTCAAAGCAGGAAGAAAACTACGTTCTGCACCGAATGCAGTGTTTCTCAATCAAGCACAAGCGTTTAGTGACTTTGTGATTACGGCGCTAGTCCAGGGCAAGAATAGTGACGAAATCGACGTTCACAGGCAGACTGGCTAAATAAATGCCTGTGACAAGTTGTGATGCTTTCCAGCCTGATTTCCATCCATATTTCTGCCTGGAACATTCTAAATTCGCGGGCCGTCCAGATTTTCGTAACTGGTGCGAGTTGCAACAATAAAAAAATTCTCTAGCTATAGTCAGTTACAGGTCAAGAAGGTAGCGGCAAATGCCCCTCAAAGGGAATCAGATATCCCTCCGCCACCTCCGCATCCAATAGCGTCCCACCGTTTCCGTGACGTTGCGGCCAACGCGCGAGGAGGGTCTTGCCTTTCTGTACATATTTGCTTTATCTTTCGAATCTGACTTAGCACTGTGGAAGCCACGAGAAGGAGATTAGAGTTCTGCCCCACCGACGGAAACAAATACGACTTTCGGGGATTAGCTTCCCCCCCGATGAATACAAAGGCTGCTTTCAGGGGCTCGGTTCCCTCTCCGATGAATACAAAGGTCGCTTTCTTAAAGGGGTCATGAAACGCTTTTCCAACTTTTTCCTGTTTCGCTTTCCTCCTCAACTCATAAATCGCGCATTCCACCAAACAGTTAAAGAAGACGAAAAGGGGGAGTCCCCTCTTGCTCGCACTCCTGTTTGTGTAATCCCGGACACATCCATTCTCCCCCTAGAAGATTAGCCCGTCGCTCAAAATTCAGACAAAAGTTGCTTTGCCCACCCCGTTCATTCCGAAGCTGACAGTGCTGTTGAAGCTACGTGCTCGTTGGGCCAGCCACACTTGCCACGTGAGCGTGGCAAATGTGGCTGCAGAGAATGAAGTCAGGTGATGAAAGGGAGGCGGCTGATTGGTCCGGCAAGCGCGTAGCTTCCACCACAATGTCAGCTTAGGGGTGAAGGGAATAAGTGAGGTCCGGTTGCGTGTGACGTCAGTTTGGACCCGATAACGCGCTTTTGGGACCGCGGATGTATCACAGTGAAAAGGCAGAGAGGTTGCGAAGGGGAGGAGGTACGAAATAGTCCGCTCTGTTTTCAAATTTTCACACTGAAAGTCAGGCTTTTGACTTTCTACCTTTTTTCTTTTGGTCCACTGAACGATGTGCTATTAGTAAAATCCCAATCTAAAATGATTTATCCCAACCCAAAAATCGTTTCATGGGCCCTTTAAAAAGTGGGATCGGAGACAAGTGGGAATCCATTGAAGCGGAACAAGGAGCGTTTCCAGTGAACTCTTCTTTCGACTGCGGAGAGATTTGAAACGGGCGCATCACACTTGTGGGAGGAGCTTCTCCTACCTTCTTGACTTGTAACCGACTATAGTGCTGCGCGTCTTGGTCGTCTCGGTTCTTTGTTGGTCTATATACCAAAATGTAATCGACAAAAAAAGCTGCTTGAAGCTCTGTACTTTTTTCACCTATTACGTTCAAGCTGATTACAATTTTTGTGATTATATTTCTATTACGTTACTACACTCTAAGAAATGCCCTTGCGTCTACTTTCCCGCACAATAGGGTGTTTTCACTGACGTAATTTCGTCCACCATTTTGTTGTTGTGCGCTGTCTGGGTGTGCCAAACTCGAGCATTCCAAGGATTTACAAGCCCCCTCAAATGCGTAGAGCACCGCTGACATCATCTCAATCGGTTACGATGTAATCCTTCAATGTAGTAAATTTGTTTGAAAAAACAAAATAACAACAAAATGGCGAATTGACGTCATGTGCAAACAACCTATACTCCGAGAGCCAATCAGCGCAAGTTACGGAAGCAGCTCAGCGAACGACGATGCCGAAACATATGTTTAGACCAAAAAACGCAGTCTGAGTTTTTACATTAAGCAATGCAAAACGTCATGCATGCATTGCTTAATGTCACAACTCAGACTGCGTTTCTTGGTCTAAACATATGTTTCGGTATCGTCATTCGCTGAGCTGACTCCGTAAATTGCGCTGATTGGCTCTCGGAGTATTGTGCGGGAAAGTAGACGCAAGGGCTTTTTTTTTAGAGTGTAGAGCCTCGCACACTAACTCCCGAGTGTGCGATGCAAAATTAAAATGAGATACCCAGAAACCCGTTGCAGGTGCCCTGAAGTCGCGCTGACGCAAATTTTGAGGAATGTATTTGGAAAAGTATTTGGTGGGGACCAAATACATTTGGTTGTATTTGTATCTTGTATTTAAATGCTTTTTTGGAAATGTAATTGGATTTGTAATTAAATACATTTTTGACGAAGTATTTTGTATTTGTATTTAGATACATATTTGCATGTATTTTGCCGATCCCTGTTCAGGATGTATAAACATACTCACACAAAAATAATTTTTATAACAGAGGTGGGTAGTTAAGATTTCTAGATCGCATTAGAAGAGCGCATATATATTTTTTTTTTCTCTTCTGGCCGATGAATATACAGTGCCTAGATCCATCTAGCTTAGACATGGAGGAATATCACTCTTGTTGGTGTCAGACTGGTTGCAGCTGATAAAACCCGTTTGCTCTTCTGACGTCTTACCCCAGGTTAGCTCAGTTGGTAGAGCGCTCCACTGGAAATGGAGGGGTCCCAGGTTCGATACCAGGACCAGGCGGATTTTTTTCTATCGCACACCAGTCACCTATAGCTGTGTTCGGAGATTTGTGTTTGTCCTTTGTCCACCTCTCTGACGTGCGGTGTTAACGAAGGTAAGGTGTGACTTGCGCGTATTGGCCGATTTTGGTTGTCTCGGTTTCGGTTGTCTCCGTTTAACATTGCAGCTCTGAAAACGAGAAAACTGAGTGACTGCTTTTGAAACACGTTTTCGTACCTGCGCGGGAAGCTGGCTTCGGCAATAAATACAGTTCGTGAAAAGCTCGTGTTATATATGTTTTTATTGGCTAAAGTTCTCGCTCCGAAAGCAGAGACTTGTTTGGGCGTCTGCGGAGTTCAGTGGTGCGAGGTCCGAGGGAGGAACTTTGCTCCCCCGTTTGCAGGGAAGAAGGTTGCTCCGTCTCTAAAGGAACATAGGGGACAAGATCATTCCCTCCTTTATGGAGGAATATATATAGACCCTTTTTTTTCCTAAGCCGGGAGTAAACAAAGATGGCGGTGCCCAGTAGGCTATTGTTGGTACCCTTTTCTGCGGCGTCTAATATTCAGAAGAGAGCTACTGCAGATGCTCGAGACCTGTTCTATACAACCAAGCAGACAAGGGCATCTGCATGGTCTATATAGACCGACACGATGTTTACAAACAAGCCCGCGTTTACCCGGTGTGGGATTCGCGTGAGGTGAAGCTTCTGCGCATGCGCCGTGGCTGCAACAGCGTCACCGCAAGAGGCGCGACGTGAGAGCCGCGTGTTGGTCTATAGACGAACGAAGGGTCCGGAGCACTCACGGTTGGCCTCTCCGTCCGTTGGCGAGCCCACGACGTCGACCCCACGCACCAGTCCTCGTGGTGTCTCCAGCGATGTCCCGCCCGAAGACACTGTCCATCGTGCCGCTGTTGCTCCTGCTCCAGTTGCCGCCAGTGTTTTCCGCGAGTCATCCTACCCCCACGCTCGGTGGAGAGAATTGTGAACGGGAGCGACCCGTCGCTAGTCCCGATTTATATGGGAAAAGCAAGAGAACAAACGCGTTCCTCGATGCGGTCGCCGACTGCCGCGGGTGATCTCCCCTCATCAGCAACACAATGGATACCGTCTTTGCTGGGTGGCTTTGGCGGCTGCGCTCTCGGAGACGGATGCGTGAGGCTCCGCCGCTCTGTCCACACGTCTTGTCATCGCCTGCGGAGTCATCGCGCGCGTCGCTGGCTCTCCGCGTGCCTTCGACGGGTCGGCCGGGGTCGTTGTGTCGGTCGGGTGTGTAGGGTACGGGATTGTCGTCCGCCGGTTCCGGCTCTCGTCCCTTCTTTGTTGCCTACCCGTGTTTGGAACAAGTGGAACTTGAGTATAGTAGTGTTGACGATTAGGCTAGTTGGTCATTCATATTAGCGGAAAACAAACAGCGCAGGGACAAGGACAGAGTATAGAAGGTAGGGCATTAGCATGGTCTAATGCCCTTCCTTGAGCATTGGAGTTGAGTTGAGTTGTAGACACCAAGTGAACTTTGTGACGTCAGGGACTCAAACCGAAAAATGTAACGTTTCGCTTTCGGTTACCGCTTCCTGTTGATAACGGTTTCGTTTCGGTTTTTTACGGTTTTAATTTTTACGGTTTCGGTTACCCCTTACACGTTCCTAAAAACCGGTTTATTGAGGTTTTTCCAATAATTTGTTTAATATAAATACGAGACAGCCGTTTTATAATAAATGGTTAAAAGTAGTCCCAGATATCCAACAACGTGAAATTTAATGAGCTTAGAAACGTCTTATTATTTCTAATTGGTCAAAAGTGGCAGACGTTTCTAGCTCCAACGCTTGTTCACTTACATTGCATAGTTTGACAACCGAGCATACAAGTTACTTCTCGGGGATCATCGCATTTTATATATTATAATTGAAAATAAACATTCCTACTTTGCTGTTCGGCAGCGTTTGTAAACAACCCTAAGAAAGTTCCCACTGGGTGCTGAAAGAACCATTCTCAGCTTATCGTCTCTATAGTTTATTTCAACCTAATGCACGCAGACGAGTCTTCGCCCACACTGAAGGAAGGAGCAGAACTATAGCCATCCTTTAGTAAAAATATGCTAAGTGGAATAAAGTAATAAAATTGAGAGCTGGTCTAGTTGGTGAAAGTCAGACATAATGTAAATGCAATAGCCCCAAACAAGGAAGACTAAGGAGAGGAACGAACAACACAGTAATAACACAGAAAGCTGTAAAAATATGTGTTGTTGATTCCTTTCCGCAGTCTTCGTTGTTGTGCCATGTTACACCTACGTCATGTTTGCTATTTCCAAGCAATTGCCTATGGTTATCGAAGCGCACGTCTCTCGCCGGCCGAATCTGTGACGCTAGTAAGATGGTGGATTTATATATGAAAAAAAAAAATGGTGCGGTCGCAAAAAAATAGAATCAAGTGCGGACGTACCTTATATATATATATATATATATATATATATATATATATATATATATAAGGTACGTCCGCACTTCATTCTATTTTTTTGCGACCGCACCATTTTTATATATATATATATATATATATATATATTCTTTTCTTTTTTGGTTACGGTGAAAGGAGAATGATGAGGTGATTGCTTCGAACTTGAGGGATCGGGCGATCGGGCACTTCTTCCTTTTCCCTCTTTGATTGTCCGTCTTCGTTTCGTTCATCTTCGTAAGAATATATATATGTATATATATATATATATATATATATATATATATATATATATATATATATATATATATATATATACTCGAAAATATGCAGATGAATGAACGGTACTTCATCGATGGAATCAATGTTTTACGAAACCGCTGAAAGCCAAAATAAACAGCGGAACAAGGATTTGAGCTCTGGCTTCCCAATGTCCGGTCGGGTGTGCTTATATTATGTTATATTATATTATATTTATTATACGGGCCGCGGGCTACTTGGCATCTTACATTTCTCCTTATGGCTCTGGGCTTTTTCTTCTTCGTCCCCTGTTGACAGAGTTTCGGACCAAATTCCTCTTTCATCCAATAGACTTCCCTTTCTTCTGCGTGTTTGGCCGACTTGCAGCACTGCATGCCCACCGCTCCACCTTCCCCCGGCAGCGCATGGGCAGATGCCTCCGGAGGCAGTCTTGGAGTACTTGTAGGGGGTCTGTGCGCGGGCAATCATAGCCCTTCTGCCGAGGCCAATATACCTCTGAGAAGGACTCACCGTATTCTGGTGCGCGAAAAAGGGACTCTTCTACACACGTACAACACAGCTTTGGCTCCAGCGCTGCACCGCGGTCATGGACGAGCTTTTCCTCTCTTCCTTTTTCTTAATAAAGACATGTCAATGAAATGGGTACCGTCGGTCATGAGCCCCGCCGACCTGCCGTTGCGTGCTTGACACGCGATGGCGACCCGGCGGGCCATCGAGTCCTCGCGCTGGGGGCGCGAGACATCTGTAACTTGTCGTGCTGAGGGCGGCGGAAGGATCGAGGAAACGCCCAAGATCCAAAGCTCTGTTCTCGGGGGAAGTGGGAGCTGTTGGCAGTGCGGCAAAGTCGACCAAACACGCAGAAGAAAGGGAAGCCAGTTGAGTGAAAGAAGAATTTGGTTTGAAACTTTGTGAAACAGGGGACGAAGAAGAAAAAAAAATCTAGAGCCATAGAGAGAAAAGTAAAATGCCAAGTAGCCCGCCGCTCCCTGGAGCGCCTTGAGGGGAAGCGGACGCTCCAGCGAGCGAAGGACGCGAGGAATGGCTCAGAGCCGTTCTGGCGTGTGCGAAATGGTGTCATCGGCTGTGTCGAGCCTGAACCCAAGAAAACCCATGCGTCGCGTGGGCTCTGCTCGTGTCGCTTAGGTTGAAGCGAAATACCGACCGCAGCAAGTCCTTCACGAGGAGGCGCATCGTAGGCGCCAACTTGTCTGGGTCGGGATGGTCGCACACGAAGTTTATGTGAGACGAAGCCCACAGTCCACGCGCACGCATTTCCCTGGCAATGGCTGCTGCCAAGAGCTGCCTGTAAAACGGCGCCGGGCGTTTCACGAAGGGCATACGGCAAAAACGACAGTAATGGCGGCCTACTCTATGTGGCCAGGTTACGGTAGAAGGGATGAAGCGTGATATGGTAAAAGGCCTCGGCAAGGTCGAGCGGCGAGATGTTTTAGTGGCGCCCTCCTACGGTTCCCCCTTGTGACGTCATTACCTTGCAAACAACAAGTTCGATGGTGTTTGTAAATAGCATGGTGGAAGCTTGAAATCATTGCGCTTTCAAAGGAACACTGCCAACACCGTCAAAATTAAAGTTCTTTCATTCCTCTTATTTCCGTCGATGATAAATCCTTTTCTGACGTAATAGTCAGCGTTCGGCCAATCGTGGAAAGCCGACCACAGCGACGCTTTCGTTCGCGCACGTCGCCACGGCAGGGAGTTTGCTTTGATGGTCTGGGTACAGTGTTGTCTGGGGTAGCGGAGTGCGAAGGAGTTCTTGTTCCTACGAAAGACGGTTATGATGGTGAGCTCTGCATCACATCCACAAGCCCGGCAATGAGCTAACAGATGTCCCGCTAATGTACCCTTCACCGACGCCGCGTGCTCCCTCCCTCTTTCGTTTATACTTCGGCCAGTTTGGCCGATGTAGCTCTTCAAGATGGCGGCGTGCCTTTCCGTCAACCCCAGCGTTGACGGAAAAATCGCCTGTGTTTGTTATTCAAAATGCACGTACTCCGAACTATGTCGAGCTCTCCGATTGGTTGTTCGCGTTCCCGAAGACGCCATCGCCATAGCAACAGCCCGCTCTCGCGGTTTATCGGGAGCTTGCGGGACACCGGAAGTTCTAGTTTTCCGTACGATGTTCTTAACTTACGAACTTCTTAGCTAAGTTGTCGTAACCTAAGAAGCTCTTCGTGAATCTGGCCTCATGTTCTTCTTTCTTCTCTTTTAAACGAGCCGATTTCATCCGTTCATATTTCCACTCCAAACTAGTGCCACTAAATAAGCTACGCTTCAGAGCCTTCAGAGCAACGACACTTGGCCATATTGTGGCTTAAAATCATGGTTGCCAGTTATCTGAAGCTTTATCTGAAACCGCAGGAATCGCTTTTCCGTCCTCCACTAATGTTTAAACAGTTCGCGACAGAGCAAAGCAATATTACACGAGCTTCCCAACACCAAATCTAATGCCGTAGAAGTCGCACTTTTGAATCATGACGATCGGCAGTTGCGTCTGCTCTGCACAAGCACCAAAATGGCGGCGCCCGCAACAGTGTGGGAGAACGGAGTGCCGCAGCTCATTTAGTGGCTCTACTCCAGACTTCCACCGCCTTGCCTCTGCAGTAAATCGCAGCGCGATGCGTTGGGAAACAGAATCTTGCGGATCGTCCAAGTGGGTATACACGTTGTGGGTGGTGTTGGGCAAGTTCGGCCGGTCTAGTGTTTTTTTAGTAGTGATTTCACACGAGCTCATGCAATCATGGTTTGGGTTATATTTGTTATATTTATATAAAGATATGCAGGGTGTTTTATTTTAATTCGTACATATTTACGTTTAAAAAAAAAATCGTAAAAGGTTCAGTACTGCGTTTTATGCAAGTAGGTTATACGGCCAGGAAGACACAAGGGGTTATTCCTCAGTTTGCGTCAGATAATTAGCAAAGATCTATTAATTCCCTTTTAGATGAGTGTGAAAAAACGCGTGGTCCCAACTAGAAACATAGCCTCATCGAAAACCCCTAAATCGTATTTCGGATGGACTCGAAGCAGGTGAAAAGCACTGGGATGGGGCAAAGCTACCACTCGAGCAACAGGCTCAAGGTTCGCGGTGCGTCAACGCGGATAACGTG